GTGACTAAATTATTTTAGTCATTGTTTTTAGCCCTACAGTTTTAAATAACTCAGCATTTTTCTGTTGCAGAGATGGATGTGACCATACAAATGCATACCTATATTGAATGAAGTATCTGAATTTATTCCATACCAAAGCATGAATACAGAGAAATTCAATCATTACTTAAGCAAGTTTTACTTACACTGTTGACTTGGATCCGAGTCTACGGTCATCTTCACATAGTTTGAAGGAAAGAGGCCATAAATGCCATTGACTTCTCCTTGCCACCAATCCATATCATCTTTGTTCAGTACATTTATAAGCTGCCCCTTAGAAAAATTGAGCTCATCTTCATTGTTTGCTGAGTAGTCATACATTGCTATCACTTGACACACTAACAGAAACAAAAAATATGACAAAGGACATGTTCTTCAGGAGCACCAACAATAACTATTTCAGTACTTGGAAAAATCCCCATCCTTGCCTAGAAATTTACAAAACTAATTATTTCAGTTTGTGCATGTTAAATATTTACATTTAACATCATAGGTAGTTCTAATTCAGAAATAGCAACCATACTCTCAATGGCCCAGTTCTGCTTCTGAGTTGAAAAGTTTTGACTTCTGGATTGATTATCTCAGCAAATGCGGACCTGACCATTCTGCACTCAATTCTTAAAAGAAATTATCATAAAAGTATAGCGCTGCAAAAAACCGAATTGCAATAAGATAAAGGGTGTCTTTTTTAAAAAAGTAGAGTGTTGGCAAAAAACATTTACTAATATACTTTCAATCTTTAAAAAACAGGAATTGCAGTCATAATTTGTGAAGGTAAGCTTTGTCAATTATAAATTGCTAAAATTTATAAACATAGTTGTCTCTTGCCCACTTATTTATTATTATTAATAAACAGTACAAATGCTTAGGACATTTAATGGGGAAAAATAATGCCAGATTTTTTCCCAGTTAATTCTTAAAAGAAAATAAATTATTTTATTTAAATAAATTTGATTAAATTCAGAAACTTATTTTCCTAAATTTACTTATTTATATGCTGTCTCCCCCAAAGATTCTATTATATTATTTATAATAAATTCGATAAATATATGCCCCCCATTCTGATGCAACTAAATTCAAACATATAAATGGAACACATACTTCCTAGTCTAATCCTGTCTTTATTTTGCTTTGCTTTCTCTTGTGCTAATTTTCTAGATTGCCTCTCAGAATAAAGACTTGTTTTTTTCTTCTTCATAAAGTACAAGGCCCCAAACTTTACAAAATTCAAATAGTTTGGCTACAATGCATAATCAAGTATTTTATATGATTTTATCAGAACTCTAGATATCAATGGTTTTATACAAAATCTGAAGAAAAACCAGAATATATATACTCAATATATTTACATATTGAGAAGTCAAAGAAATTAACACAATAAATAACTACATTGAAATGATTATCAAGAACAAGCTATAACTACAAACAAAATAATAAAACCAAAATAAAGCCCAAGTTATATGACTTGCACCTAAAACAAGGAGGACCTGTTGTTTGTTAATATATCACAATTCCCATGTGAATCTAAGTCATAAACTATAGGTTACAAATTACAATGGATGAAATCACACAGTATGCTAAGTTAAAAAGAAACCCTTTTAGTATGAACTCGGTCACCAATCAGAAACAAGCTTTAATTGCTCACCTGGATGAACAGCTGGCATAGCCTTTTCATTGCTGGGACCTAACAGTTTCACATGAGTAGCAGGAAACCATCCTTTTTGTCTTTTTTTCCCTCTCGCCTGAAAAACACAATTGGTGATCCAAAATCTAATATCTGTTTACATCCGCACTTTTACCTCTGCTCAGATTGGCAGCGAGAGCCTCTTATCTTGTGTTTTCTTGCCCTGTCCTATGAACGAACCATGGTCTCACATTTAATGCCTTTATTACATTTTGGGACAGCTGGATTAAAAAAAATGTGTTCTTTCCTACTATTGGATTCATACGTGCCAATAAGGAGGAAGAGTGCTAAATTCCTTTCAAGAGCAGATGATGCAAGAAGGATACAGATCTAATTTTGGTAGATAAGCGTTTGATATGTCTATCTGCTTATTCCTTCTGGTTTTCATTTATATTTAACTACTGTATATTGCTTTTGATTTCAATTGATCAATCAATCAATCAATGGGGTCTCTTTTTTTAATAGATATTTTTCTTCTTGAAAAAAATGCATTTTTTTTAGCAGCAAGTATTTTTACAGACATAATTTGCTCATCTAGGTAAGAAACTTGATACCCAGTCAGAAAAACCTCTTGCTCTATTACCTGTAGTTCTCCCTGCCACCATCCACTAGAATTTTTCTTCAAAATTACAATCAGCTGTCCAGGAGCAAGACTCAGCTGTTCCGTTCCTGATGCAGTGTAGGCTGTTGTAACTTGAGCAATTTCTAACAAGAAATATGTATCAGTGTAAAATGAATGATTATAATATATAAGAGCATGAAAAAAAACAGTAATACTCACCAGGTTTTTTATTTAATGTTCCTGTTTTGCTAGTTGGAGGAGAAGTCTACAAGAAAGAAGAAACAATTGGGAGTCCAACTTTAATTTTAGCTCTCCCCCTTTTTTTATTGCAAGCAGCCACTTTTGAAGCATAGCACAATCTTGGAAAATCTAAAATCAATGCTTTCTGCAACAAATTCTGCCTCCTCCCATCAGCCCTGCCTTTTATCCCCTGGCCACAAGTGCAATATTTATTCTCTGAGACAAAACCAATTTTTTTCTTATTACATTTCCTTGGGCTTGTACAAGTATCCCTGCAACAGTCTCGGTTTTCATCTTGAAATCCTGCATCTCTAGCTGGAAAAAAAGAAATCCTAAAAGCAGAACACTTAGGAAATCTTACATCATGATCCTTTGGTTTGACATAGTTTGAAGGAAAGATTCCACTTCTATCACCAATTCTTCCAGTCCACCATTCCCCATCTTTCTGACTCACTATTATTTCTTCACCTTCAGTGAAAGTTAAATCACCAGACTCAGAACTTGAATAAGAATATAGTGCTGTATATTCTGAAAAGGTAGAGAAAAATTCAGTCATGTAGTAAAGCTGTATCTGACTAAAGATTGTAAAACACTGATTCATGTAATTCTTTCTACTTCAAAATCTTTGACTAATGCTCAGGTAACATCAGGCAACAAAGGAAATAATAGATACCTTTTTTAATGACAGAAAAAATCAAAGTCAAAATGTAATACTTCAATAGCTTAACCACACATGAACATATTCCTCTCATATTCAGAACATCTTACACCATTCTTTAGCTATGTGTAGTGTCCCTTCATCTATCTGGGTCTAGCATGGCAGACACTTAGAGGATGTTTTCATATGATTTAAAATACAAAAGAGTAGATTCAACCTAGGTTTTATATATGAGAAACAAT